TCAGTGTTGCTTTGATTTGCATTTCTTTAATGCCCAAAGATTCTGAAATTTTTTTCATGTACTTACTGACCATTTGTACTTCTGAGAACTGTTCATTTCAATTGCCCAGTTTTTGATTGGGTCTTTTATTTTATGGGTTCTAATATTTTTGAATTCTTTATATTTTCTAGCTATTAGTCCTGAGGAGTAGCTAGCAAAATTTTCCCCTATTCTGTAGGTTGTCTCTTCACTCTGTTGGTTGTTTCATTTGCTGTGCAGAAGCTTTTTAATTTGACATGATCCTATTTGTTAATGCTTGGTGTTATATCTTACGGAATTCAGGAAGTCTTGTTGCCTATGTCTATGTCTTCAAGACTTTTATCATGTTTTTCTTCCAATAGATTCAATTGTTTTGTTTTTGTTTTTATATATAGGTCATTGATCCTTTTTAATTTGATTTTAGTACAGGGTGAGAGATATGGATCAGATTTATTCTTTTGTATATAGATAACCAATTTTTCCAGCGCCATTTGTTAAAGAGGCTATCTCTTCTCCAGCCTATTTTATTGGCCCCTTTCTCAAAAATCAGATGGCTGAAGGTGCTTGGTGGTGTTTTTGCATACTTCATTGGTCAGCAGGTCTGTTTTTGTGTCAGTGCCATGCTGTTTTATTACTGTAGGTTTGTTGTACAACTTGACCACCAAGACTGTAAGGCTCCCTGTTTTGTTCTTATTGCTATTTTGGGTCTCTTCTAGTTCTAAATAAATTTTAGAATTGTTTTTTCTAGTTTGGTGAAAAACTCTAAAACTCTAATGCTATTTTGACTGAAATTTCATTAAACGTACCTATTATTTTTGGTAATATGGCCATTTTGACGTTTTGGTTCTGCCTATCCAAAAACAGGGAATGTCTTTCCATTTTCTAATGTCCTCTTCAGTCTCTCTTTCAGAGATTTCATTATAGGTGTTTTCATTGTAGATGTTTTTCACTTCCTTTCTTAGGTTAATTTCATAGTACTTAATTTGTTTAAAAGTGATTGTAAATGGGATTGTCCTCCTGATATCTTTTTCTTGGGTTCATTGTCAGTGTACAGGAAACACTATTGATTTTTGTGTTTAGTATGTATTCTGCCACATGGCTGAATTGGTTTATTAGTTCTAAGAGTCTTCTGGTGGAGGTTTTTGGATCTTCCATGTAAAGGATCATGTCATCTGCAAATAAGGATAGTTTGACTTCTTCCTTTCATTTTTCTCTTATTTTATGAAAAACTAAAACAATTTCATAACAAAATAATAAGAGGATAACAATAGTTAATTCACCATGTGTCATCATCTTTGAAGTAGTTACTCAAGAGTATAACACATAGACAAAAAAGATTCTCTTACAGAGAAGAAACAGATAATAGCACAAAACTTTCTTAGGTAAGAGAAGTCACATGATGTGTAAGTTTGTGTCTGACTGGTGTGGAGGTTTCTTAAACAACTAAAAGTAGATATTCCATTTGACCTAGATATCCCCTTTCTGTATCATCCCAAAAGATTTAAAATCGTTCTATTACAGGGATATTTGGATACCCTTGTTTATAGAAGCACAGTTTATAATAGCTAGATCTTGGAAACAGTGTATATGTCCATCAACAGATGAATAGGTAAGGAAAATGTGGTATTTATACACAAGAAAGCATTCCTGTGCCATAAAGAAAGATAAACTTGAGGCATGCCGCTTGAGGACATCTTCCTTTCCTATTTCACTCCCTTTATTTCTTTGGTCTGATTGCCCTGGCTAAAGATTCAAGTACTGTATAGTACAGGAGTGATGATCATGGACAGGCTTGTCTTGTTCCTGATATTATAGGGAACACTTTTAATTTTTCTGCATTTAGTGTGATGTTGGCAATGGGTTTGTCATAAATGGCTTTTGTCAGTTCAAGTTAGGAATCTTCAATTCTTATAAAAATTATAGGTGGTAATACTGGAGGCAAACATAAAAATGGTATTCTTTAAAGAAACAGATCTTTCCCCTTCTGATTTTTGTGGAAAATACTGAATACCCCTGTAACTCAGTAAGTGGAGAGAGACTGATAAATTCCTTGGAGATTTAGAACTCTGCAAGTTAACCTGTCTGACTGACCCTAGCAGACTTTTAGCTTATTGGAAATTGTCCAAGGAAAAATTATTTTAGAGTCAACTAGTTTTGGGGTTTGATGACTTGTATTTCAACCTGTTAAGAGTTAAAAGTTAATCAATTGAGAAGAATAATCATTTCCTTTTAAACCCAGAAAAGAATTTTTCACTTTGTAAACAAGAATCCCCAGAGGATTACCTTTATTGAAAAAAATCACAGAAGAGAAAAACAAGGCAGAATTACTACTTTTACTTACAAGTATTTTAGAGCTGAGTTAGGAAGATTCTATTCAAATGCATGATTTTAATGTGAATTTTAGTGTTGGTTCAGTGAGTGACAGCTTGCCTCTCTTTTATTAATTGTTTCTACTAAGAACTAATCTTGGTGCGGTACTAATTGCTTACCCACTGACTCCCAAAACATCCTGGTTTGGGTGGTAGTTTCTCATTGTTATTCTAGATGAAGAAACTGAGGTCATTGTGGGTTTTAAGTAATGTGGCCCAGTTAGCAGTCATTGACTTGGGCTTTCAACCAAGTGCTGTACTAGAGTTGTGAATCTTTTTTTTTGACCCTATAGGATAGCTAGATGTTATTTTTCAGCATTTTTAATGGTAGTGAAAAGATAGTAAGAAATTAATGACACCCAATTACAAGTCAGGTATTATTCATTCTATGTCCTTTTCCTAGAAATCCTGTGTTTTCTTTTCATGTAGTTCTATCAATACCTTTCTTGTCTAGGATGCTTCTTAGAGAATTTTCATTTTAAGCATTCTAGAAGTGAAAGCAAACCCTGAATTAAAATAATAAACAATCATATCTGGTATGATCACATACTAGTATTTCACAAAAGCACAACCTTATTTGCATCTTAGACTTATCCAGACCTGTTGCTTTAAATATTTTAATAAAACATGTTTTTCCCTCCCCCACTGAGGCTTACTTTCCTCCCCAATCACTTTAATTATGTGAGCTAGAATCCTGTTTCTCACACATCTTCAGTTCTCTACCTTGTTAAAATTAATCATATAATCTCCCGTTAAAACATAGTATTAAATCACCATAGTAACACAGTATCCAAGCTTTATAGATAAAACATAACAGCCATAAGAAGGTAGCGTTTGCTGTCCCCTTGACAGCTCTATAACTTTTATAGAAATGCGTTCCTTCTCCTGCCTGTGTACGGTAGAGGGATAGCATTACTTACACCTGCTTTATTACCACGTTGCTTTTAAATTGCCACCTTGTTTTTGTTCACCTTCCTAGTTAAATAAGGAGAGTGGAACATTTTCTTTTCAAATTATTTTCCTGAACTCCCAAACCACTCTCCAAGGGATGGAATTGTTTCCTTAAATATAACTAGGCAGGGCCCTTGACCTTGGTAGTGGGATACCTTGAAAATTCCTTTTAGTTTTTTTTTTTTTTTATGTAAGGGAGTCTTAGGAATCTACCCTATATCTGAATCTTAATTCATATCATATCCGGACTCAATAAGGATTCTGCCTTTGGAAAAAGGGCTGGTAAGCCATGCTTTTTCATTTCTGTTGACAATTTATAAATTGTAAATGATAGCATCAATTTGAATATTTTACCAGTTTGAGTATTTTATGAATTAGAAGTTACTTAGTAAAATTCAATACAATATGTACAATATGAGTTAATGAGTTGTTTTCACAATTCAGTGTCAAATTATAAAATATTTTAGTGTTAATTTATATATTAGATTTAGAATGTTTAAGTTCTAAAAAGGAACCAAATACAAGGTAATTGTTAAACTGATTTTAAATCAGTTTAAGTGGATTTTTCAACACTTTGTAAGTTTTTAAAAGTTTCTAGATTGCTCCAATTAGCAATATACTTTCCAAATTTTTAAAATATTTTCTACCTTTTGCTGCTTTTATGTGTAGTTTATTTTTTATTGATACAGGAATTTGTACTTTTTTAAAATGCTTAAAGCATTATTACTATTTCTTAGGATTTTATATTGCTTAACATTTTGGTACTTCTGTCCTCTAAAGTATGAAATATCTGTCTCAAATTTGGAAAATTAAAAAAGACATAAGAATTTAGGAAAGTGTTAGTTAACCTTGTCCCCTTTTCATTGCAGTTTGAATGCCAGCTGTTCCTCTTAGCAGCTCTCTGAAGTTGATTCACCTCCCTACCTATTCTGTCCTTTTTTTGTTTTTGGTTTTTCTCCGGTACTGGGAACTGAACTCACGACCTTGCACTTGCCAGGCAGGCGCTTTGCCGCTGAGCTAAATCCCCAGCCCCCCTATTCCGTCCTTTAGCGCCTTTTTCTGTAAAATGGGAATGTCACTGAAACGCCAGGTTGTTGTACCTGACACATAGTAGACCCCTAAATTTTACAGCTGCAATTACCATTAGTTTCTGAACTGCATGGGTCTTCAGGTGATCATTGTTAGCAGCAAGCTGGTGGAGTGGCCAGTGGAATTAAGGCATGGCTTAAAATCCAGCTGGGACCTTGGGTAGAGTCTCTCTCAACTCTCCTCATCTATAAAACAAGGTGAATAGAATACACCTTTCAGGATTGACAGACTGATTAATTGAGCCACCTTACAGCCTGAACTCAATAAAGGGAAGACATGAAAGTGCTGATGATTTTGATATTTGATGGTCACTAGAATAGATTGGTAGCTTTCTCTTCTCTTCTCTTCTCTTCTCTTCTCTTCTCTTCTCTTCTCTTCTCTTCTCTTCTCTTCTCTTCTCTTCTTTCAACTAGCTCACAGACTGTTCCCTTGAAGTGTGTAAATTTTAAGTTCATTTATGAAGAGTTTACTGAGGGAGGAAATGGTACAGGTTCAACGACTTGTCGTGATTAGATACTTTATCAAGAAACTTACTGCTCCTTCATCCTTCCCTTTGTTCTGTCTTTGCTGCAGCCTCACAGTTAGCCAAGTTGGCCAGAACTTCACATTCGTGCTCACTGACATTGACAGCAAGCAGAGATTCGGGTTCTGCCGTTTATCTTCAGGAGCCAAAAGCTGCTTCTGTATCTTAAGGTAAGGAAGGGAGAAGGGCTTTGGCTATTGGTTAATTCTGCAAAACAATGTCAGTGTTTGCATTATTCTTCTGTAATTAAATTTTCCAGCTGTTCTCTTTATTTCCCTATCTGTTTCCCACAAGTCACTGCACTTGGGGAGAAGGACTTCACAGTGTTGCTCTTCCACTTGAAATTCTTCAGATAATTGTATTTATTTATTTGTATCACAGTTCTTGGGTGGGAAGGGACCATTGCTACTGTGTAGTGTGGGGAAGCTTGAGAGTCAGCATGGCTTTAGTTCCTCCTGCTGTTATCTGGAGCTGTCAGAAATTAGCCTGTTAGACTTTTCTGTGGACATTTTGTGTATGTAAGATTATTAATAAAGTATGTGTCTGTAACTTGGGACGTCTTACAGATAGGAGTTCTGTCGTCCTCGAAGTAACACCCTTGCTCCCTTTGGGTCAGTGAATGAATAATGCTTCCCAGCTTGGCTACCTCAGTAAGATCTGAAAAAAGTGCAGACATCTATGAGAAGGCTTCTTTAGGTCTTCTGAGATCCTTCACACACCAGAGCCACACTTGTTTAATGCTCTGTTTCCTCTGCCAGAGGGGAAAGGCACATTCTGGGGTGGGAGGATGTGTGGAAATCCGATTTTGGAGCTGCTGGCTCCTGCTGGGCGCCTCCTGCGGGGGAGGTAAAGGCATCCCACACGCGCTCCCCTCCATTTGCCCTGGTTAAGTAGGTGTCAGGGACCTGCCTCCTGTCTCTCTCTGCTCATGTGCAACAGGGCAGGGCAGCAGGGAGGCGCCCATGACAAAACCCGGGCCCCAGGCTTGGGCCTGGGCCTGGGGAATGAAAGATTCCAGAAAGGGTAGTTCCCTGCTGTCCTAGCCTGCACTTTCTTCACCTTCTCACCAAGAAATGGACCCCATCTTCTTTCCCTCAGATGTACACACCCACACACAGTTGGGCACGAGGGACTGATGTTCAAAGTTCCTTTGGTCACTGTCAATCCAGCCTGCTGTGTGCTTGCACTTCTCTATATACAACTTAGTACCATCATTCTCAATCAAATAGATCAACTCCTTTCTGCACCACACACTGTTTTTCTAATTTGCTGGAGAGCCCTCAGAATGTGGGTAGGACCTGGTACCCTTGGGAGAGGAATTGAGCATAGTTGTTATCAAGCTCTCTGAATAGCCCAGTCCTGAGGACTACCTTTCCAGGCTACTGGATGTGGGTGCCACCCATTATTTATTCCTTGATTTAACAATAATGGTCTTCTGTTTTTGTTAAAGAAAAATTTCCATTTTTGGCCAGGACAGTGTATATTTATACTGTGCATTTCAGGGAGTTGAGGGTTTAATATGGGTTCTTGAAGTTTTGCAGAAAGGTCTTCACCTGTGTTTTAGGTTACATTGCATCTTTCTTTCCAAACTGGAGTGTGTGTATGTGTGTGTGTGTGTATGTGTACATGTATGTATATGTATGCATACTGCAAATCAGCACTATCAGTGAATTCAGCAAATTCCTGTGAATAGGAAACTTTCTTTAAAACTTTACATTTAATGGGCTAAGGGTATTACCTCAGAGGTAGCATGCAGGCTTAGTGTGCTGAAGACCTGTGGTCAAGCCCTAGCACGAGAAAGAGAGAGAGACAGAGAGGTGGAGAGAGATTGAGAGATTAAAATTTAAATTGCCTTTCTGTGATTCTGGTGTTTGATTTTATATGCCCTATGTAAGGTCACATATTTTGTGTTTGTGAAAAAGCAGTTGAATAGCCTTAGTGTTACTGTTTTAGGATGAAAAATAGCAGTTGGTATGTTTCCACCTTGTTATACTCACTTGGAACTATGGAGAAAACTAAGGAGGGTTAATGCATTGATTTGTTTGTCAACCCTTAATTGAATGCCTACTATGAGCTAGTCCTTGCCCTTGAGGAGTTCACAGACTAGCCAGGGAGATGGCTAGTCACAGACCACTGTGTGATATATAATACATAGAATGATCTTAAGGCACAATGTTTTCTTACTATTGACTGTCTAGTACCAGAGAATAGTGGCTGTGATTAAAAGTAAAATGTCTTATATAAATTCAGAAGTGTACATTTGGTGAAGTGTACATTGTAACATGTGCACACATAAAGGGCATATGCGTGGCACTTTCCATGTATGTGGTTTGAAATGTTGCTAGGTTGAGACTAGTATGTAAATGGAAGGGTCTGCAATTGGCAGCATGTCCAGAGGGGAGTGCAGATGTCTGCGCAGAGATTGAGGGCAGAGTTTGCATTGTCTGCTTTTCTTGGTTAGTCTCCCTACTTTCTTCAGATGTTTTCCCTTTAGTTAACCTGTGCCTTGAGGTCCAGTCACCTTTCATAGTATACCCAGTGCTACAGCTTAAGTAGCAGCCACCTCTATTTTTACTTTTTATTCTTTTCATGAAGGATGTAGCTCCCAGCAAGAGTGTCTGTGTAGACTTAGCCTCCACTGTCCCCGCATTTGCTTCTTAGGATCACTTCTTTTCTGCCTGTTCTCCCATACACTTTGTGGCTTCATGAGCCACTGTACCCTCTTTGGCTTTGCACATCCTACCCATCCTTGCAGAGTGGTTTTCCTCAAACAGAGGTCATCATTTCCCTTCTGAACACATCCTGCATGCTTTGTATAGTTTAGTTACACAATCACAGAACTAGAGAGTCCTTTGTCTTTCTCCTACTGGACAGTCAAGACCATTTTAGGTAAAGATCTTGTCTTACTCAGCTATGTATTTCCAGCATGTAGAACAGTGCCCACCTAAGATCCTGTGTGCGTGGCATTCAGAGAAAGGGAGATGCATCAAGAATGGAAAGATAGGGTGCTGAAGGCACCAAGTGAGAGACTGAGTCTCACGGGATATTAAAGAGGAAACCCAAAATACAGTTACTGGCAGATGCATTGCTCATTTCATACTAGCTGTAAGAGGGGGGTACCTTTTAATACCCCAAGGGTATGCAAATGTTGACTGACATACTTTGTGTCCATAAAGGACTAGGTCATCCATATTTCAAAATTTAAATGTAACTTTATAATGAATGGTTCTTAGATATCCTTATATAATAAAACCTTTTAGGTTTATTTTTATTTTTTCTCCCTCCTCACTAGAATATAACCCCCGTGAAGACCGAGAATTTGTACCATATCCCCCCTCCCCACCAAATATGTCAGAGGATATCAAAGCATATCTGGCATATCACGAGTACTCAGTAATACTTCTTTTATAAAAGAATGAATATCTGGGAAATAAACCTGTTTATTTAATTTTTTTTCTTTAAATAGGGCTATACTGTTGTACCAGCTAATTTTGTAAGAAATGCAGTTGTACTAGAGAATAAACAAGTCCCAGTAGCACAAATACCACTATAAAGTAAATGCATTATTTCCTGCCGTGGTTGACTAGTTCCTGCCATTAAAGGATTTTACTTCTCCTTAAGATTCACCATAATATTTAATGAGTTGCTGGATGGTAGTTAATGCTAAATGAAAAACATCAACTAGGAGGACAACAGTTATGAGCAAGTTGTTCTTCATTATAAGTTCAGGAAAGTGAGTGTTTTAGCATTTTCAGGTTGTGCCATTTTGGTCTGATATGTCATACACATTTATCTCAAAAATTGTTCCATGCTATAAAATTAAAGTGACCTAGAGCTAAATTTTTTTCATTGTTTCCAAATTGCTCAAATGGCACATAACTCAGCAAGGCCAGAGCTGTAATGAAATATGCTATTTGTAGCCAACTTCTGGTTTGGGGTCTGTAGAAGGAGCATACAAGTGGAAAGTCAGTTGTTTTTAGACATTAACAGAGATAAGTCACACAACCCCCCCAGACTAAATTTCTTTAGTCTTTATAAAGGACATTTATAGGTTGTTGTGTTCTGCGTTGTTCTCCATTATGTACAGGTATCATATTTAATTAAGCTCCTGAGAAAACTTGAACAACAACCTTTACATTCAAATAAAATAGTTCGGAATCTATTAAATACTTGGAGAGCAAGTAACTTGTTAATCAAGGTGTAATTTAAATTTTTTTTTAGTTTAACTTTAAACATTTTTATTCGATTAAAAAGTATGAGAGTAACTAATATATACCTGGAACAAGCAAAACATAGCACTTGGTTTTGGGCCTTTGTTTATGAAGACCTCTTAAAATAAATACAAAGATCTATCCCCCACTCCCTGTTTGAAAACTGTTGAGTTACCATATTCATCCAAGATTTGATGAGCTAAACCTGACATTACAAAATGAAAGCAGTAAGTACTTCTTGTCATTTACCAAGGCTAAGATTGAATATGCCTCTAGGTACACTGTTTCCAGGCTCTCTCTGGTTTTCATATCCACCTCCTATTTCCCTTTTCCTACCTGCACTTCTTAGGAGCCATTCAACCTTGGGCAAGGGTATATGTAAATGAATAATTGAAGTATGACACATAAGTGTTATTGAAGACCATATGTGTATAAATTTCTTTGAGCTCATAGATTAAGCAGTGCCCATCTCTAAGGTGAAGAATCAGAAAAGTGTTGCTGATGGGTTCCAGTGAAAGAGGGTCTAACAGGATGAGTGCACACTTGCCTGCCAGTGAATGGGAGAAGAGCTTTGTACACAGTGACAAGGGGTGTGCAGAGATCCTAAGAAATGAAAGGTAAAGCGAGATGGAAGAACACTGTAAGTGTTAATTAGAGGACGGAAGAAAGAGATGCTGCCACAAAAGTCAGGTCAGATTGTGAAAATGCTGGTGGGACATGTTTAAGATTTTAGATTCATCTCATAGGTGGTTTGGGGCGGGCATTACACATACTGATGTTTGCAGACTAAGGTGTTTTTTTTCAACATAAAGCATCTTGGTTTATTCTGGTTATTGTTAGGAGGGATACCACACATTGCTTTTGGTGTAACACCCTGATTTAGACAGGACGTTCCAAACTTTAACTTTAGTTTTTTGTTTGATTTTTTTTTTTTTTAACATAAATATTCCTGGCCCCTG